CGGCATTCAGTGGGGGAGAGGGGGAGGCGGAGGCAGAAGGCATGCTTGTAGGGAGAGTGAGATGAGCTGAAGAAAAAAAATGGGAGCATAGAAGTAGATTTCTAGGAATGAAATGGGGCAGATTCTATCTTGGTGAATCATAAGGATCATGTTAAAATAGCTTTTCTTTAATACCAGGAGAAGTGACTCCCCTTTTGGGTGGAATTGTCCATTTCCTGCCCTGCCCCATTCTTCACTTGCTAGGGGGAGGTCAGAGCCCCTCTCTCAGTCCAGGGCAGGACACGATGACTGTGACCCAGCCAAGGCCATCACCAGAGAAATGATTCAGAGTTTGAAATAGTGCCCCAGGTGCCAACAGGATGACCTCGAGACCCCAATTTCCACTCGGGTCCCCCAAAAAGGCCAACCCAAAGGCCCAGAGATCGTGAGAAGGGCATGGGCTAGAAAGATTGTGTCAAGAGGAGTCTGGAGCCTCATTTCCTGCCTACCAATAAAAATGTCCCTCCCACTTTTAGGAAAGTGGCTGATACGTAAGAACAGGCAGGAGGGAAACCCTTTGTGTCAATGACTCTCTTCTCAAGGAATGGCCCTTTGGGGGCAGGGGTCTGTGCTGCTAGCTGGTACCTCATTTGCCACCCCCCTTCCCTAACCCCAGGCAGCCTCTGGGGCCTTCTTGCTTTCACTTTCCTTGAATGTACATGGGAACAGGGGAGGAAAGTCTCTTACTGAAGTGCCTGAAACCCAGAACTAGAGCTTCTAGAGACGCTGTTCTTCCTGTCCCGGCTTGGCCAACCTTCCCCCAACGTTCCCTAGTCTCATGCTTCAACTTCTCAGAAAGAATAAAAGAACATGATGTTGTAATTAAATTGAAAGCAAGACTCCATAACCAAACTACAGCAAAAGGCAGAGAATTACAGGGAGAAATGACTTGTATTTTAATAGCCCAAATCTATTCCCCCAAACAGACTCTCTCTCTCTCTCTCTCTCTCTCTCTCTCTCTCCTCTCTCTCTCGGACTAAGAGAGAGAAGCATGTTATATTTTATTCATCAAAAGAGTAATGCAAAAATAAATCAGTAGAATATGAAAAGCTCAGGATCTCTCCCAAGGCTACAGCAGGAAAGCGGGCAGGTGAGATGGGAAGGATGGAAACAGGGATCGATTTTGTAGTTCATCCAATTTGGACACCTTAGGAATAGCATTGTGGTAAAGATGATGAATGTGCTCTGTCCACTTCATTTGGTCTGCGCCTTCCTATAGCTGCCCAGTAAACGCGATTCTTCACGTGGTTTCTTTGTTGTGTATGTTTGGAATGTCCTATTAGCCTGTAACAGTCAGTTAGGAATGAGTTA